CCTTCCTACATCTCACCCACATCTGTGCTTGTTCTCTGTGTGTGTTTGCCTATGGACCCACTGGCACATAAGCTCTCGGTGGTGAAGACTGTGAGTCCTGAAACTAGACTGCCTGCACCAAATGCCAACTTTGTCACTTACCGAGTACGCGACCTTGATTAAATTACCTGAATACTACACCCTAGATTCCTGACCTATAAAATGGAAAGTGTATAGAACCTTCTCATACACAGTACCGCATAAATAACACCTTATGTCATCAGATTAATGCACAAGAAGACCCAGAGCATCATCTGATGTGCATACAGGGCCCAATCAAAGTCACCTTTCCCAATGGTTGTTCACTGCTATATCTCTGGTGCCCACGATGGTGTCTGGCATATAAAAGGAGCTCAAATGCTAGTTGAACAAATGAAGTCAAAAAGACACGAGTAAGCTCCTCTGGGGGAGCCTGGACGAAGCGCTGTGGTGGAAGGTAGCTCACTGCTGGAGATGTTGCGGTCAGGAGGGGGCCAGGAAGAAGCAGGAGCTGGAGAGCCTGGAGGGGTAGGAAGAGTTCCAGGGAGCCACTAAGTGGCTCCTGGAGGTCAAGGGACCACATGAGTCATTTACCTTTTGAAAGAGGACCGAAAACAATCCCAGGTTTGCCTCAGAAACATGCTCCCCCAAGCGGCAGGGCTCTGCTGCCATGGCCTCTCAAGCCCTGCTCAGCCACAGGAAAAACAAAGCAAAACAAATATTGAATGTCTTACGTGTTTCAACGCCATGCACCTGTATCCTTACCCCGGATACAGAGATCTGAGAGGGTACAGGGATGAGCCCCTTTGATGTGGGCCAGGAAGGATGCTGGCTGCCTGAGAGGAGGGGAGGGATGGGGGAATTGAGACATTCGGTCCTTAACAGGGTATCCAAGATCCAAAGGGAGGACTGAAGCCTCCTAGTGAAGGGGAAGAGTTTGAAGGTTTCCTCCCCTTTCTCTGTCTGGGCCATGAACTCAACCGCCCCAAACATTCACACATATCCAGCCAGGAGCCACTGCCTGAGCATTTCAGATGTGCCTGCCAGACACTGCAAAGCATGCCAGGGTCCCCTGGGAGCCACCGTGGTGCTGAGGGGGAGGGCAGCTTTCCCTCCTCCCCCTCCTTCCCCGCTGGTGGTGTCTGCAGGAGCACACATGTATGCCTGTGCTGTCGTCCTTGCTGGGGCAATGACGGGTGAGCACGTGCCCTGTGTGGCATAGCGTTCCTCCTCAGAGCTTTGCGCTCACATCAGCAAAATCACTGCTATAGATTCCTGCTAGGGGTGAGGGAGAAATTGGATGGCCCCCTAAAAATGAAGGTCCTGGCAATTAGACAGCTAAGACTGGCAGGGTGAGGGCAGCGAGCAGCTCAGCTGCGTTGCCTGTCCGGGTTGGTTAGCTGAGAAGGCAGGCTGGTGTGAAGAGGAAGCATCATTAGGAGTCTGGAGCAGACCAAAACTGCTGCTGAAAAGAGAGGCCAAGGCAGAAAGAACCCACGAGGGGAACAATTAACTGATAAGAGTAAACTAATTGTTATTCATATTAAATTAGGGCACAGGTGATTCGGAGAAAACCTACAGACCCTCCCAGATGCTCTGCGGGTTTTGCATCGCAGATGATGGTTTTACGGGACTCTTCTGGGATTCTGATTATGGGAGCTGGGCCAGTACCAGAGCGGGGGCAGGGCTCCCGTCCTGCTTAACTACACAATAAACACATAACGGCTTGTCCCAGAGGACAGATCCGGGCTTTGCATACTAAACATTCTGGTGCTAGGCTTTGGGGGCCTCTGAGAAGAGGGGCTCACTCCTGGCAGGGGAGCCAGGGAGACTGTGCAGAGGGAAAAATCAATCATTCAGACCTAGAGGTTGCTCCAGATGTTTGGAACAAGGGCCAAGTTGTGAGGATGCACTAAATCCAGATGTGGAAGAGACTGCACAGATCGCCAGGAGCCAAACAGGAAGCCCAAGAACGGGGATAGGAAAGGACAGAGATGTCTCAGTCTACCTGGGGGGTACTGGTGTGTATATGTACAAGTCTGCGTGGGTGTGAGTACCGTACATGTGCGTGCATTTATATTTGCACACGAGGTTCGTGAGAGTGTATGCGTTTGCATTCATGCTGGTGTGTCTGCACGTACATCTGACTCCACGACATTACGTGTCTAGTCTACATAGATATTCGTGCATTTGCGTATGTCTAAACACTTGGGGTGTTGCTAAAATTTCCCACAGAAACTAACAGCAGGCTATTGTCTATTCACTGAGCCTTATCATGCTAATTTTAATCTCACATTACTGTTTTAAGTTGGCTCTAAAAATTAAAAAATTCTGTAAACAGAGCCTGGGGCTAAATTGCAGGACAGATCCCCAGAAAGGAGGGTTATTATCATTATTGTTCTCACCAGAAGGAGGAAGTAAAGCTTGTCACTCCTCCTGTCCCCTCTGGTTGAGCTCCCATGAGCTGAGAGGCAGCACCCATGAGGACACCTGCAGGGAGCAGGACCAGACAGGACATGAGACCACAGTCCAGCCCCTGTCTTCTTACTAAGGAGACTGGCTGAGAGAGACGTCCTTGGACAATCCATTCAGTGGTGCCTTCAAAACTGGCCTGAAACGCAGCCCTCCTCTTCACCATCTTCCCTGAGCTCGCCATATGAGGGCTGGGCCATGGCCTGGGGGGAAGAGCCTGGAAATGCATGTGACCCCACACACTGTGATCCCTTCTGTGGGTCTCAGTTTCACCACTGGTAACATGAGGGGGTGAAACCAGACAAGCTCCAAGGTCATTTCTACCTTACTGTTTAGTGATCCTGGGACTGGGACTCGCTAGCTCAGCATAGGAGAAAGGCATTTGCCATCCAGGATGCCCTGGCTCCTCCTCTGTCTGTCTGGGAATGCCCCATCCTGCTCCCACACCTGCCTTTCCCCTCCCTCCAGCTGGTGTGGTGTGAGAGGAGGAGCAGGGCATGGAGGCAAAGAAAATATCAGCAGGAAAACGTGGTGTCAAGAAGGCCTCTCTTAGAGAGGCTAAAGGAGCAAGGTTATTCCAGTAGGGGCAGGAGAAAGCAGAGCAGGGCTTGCTGTGATTCATGCTTCATTTTAAAAAGAAAGAATTGATTCTGCACTGCAGCAGGCGGTACTTAGGTTAGATTCGGTGGAACTTTCTTGCTGACAAAGAGGGCTATTAAGCATAGGAATACAAGAGGGAGAAGGAGGGACAGCTGTCCCTAGAGAGAATAATTACATATATTTTCAAATGTGGGGCCCCTTCCTCACCTCAAGGTGGCTGATTCTGGAGCCTCTGCCCCCGCTGTCCCCTCCATACACACAAATACTCAGTAGAACGAGCAGGGCCTGATTTCCTCCCAACAGGGTGAAACAGTGACAAGGAAGAGGAGGCCTGTGATTCTCGGCCTCAGCTCATGATACGGGTGGCATAACTTCGATGCAGCAGTCCGTAGCAGTGGTCCAGAGCTGGTCACTGGGTCAGGGAAGGAGGTAGCAGCCCCAGACCTGCCAGACAGCCTCTGGCCAGCGACAGGAGCTGCCTTTCTGGGGCTATGAAGAGGACACAGCTGACATGGCCCTCACCACAGGTGTCCAGGAAGACGAGCGGGGAGGAGGCAAAGTTCTAAAATGAGTACAAGGATAGCTTCTAAGTCTCTGGCAAGTTGACAGAAGAGCATTTGGAAATATCTCTGCAGATGGCTCCACGCCACCTTATGTGTGTGCCGGCATACATCCATGCGCGCGCGCGCGCACACACACACACACCCCCGCTGCCGACCACATCCCCAGCCTACTGGCACACACAGGCAAGGGGCGCCCGGGGAATTCTTGGACAGCGGGCTGCTCTCCATCCCGCGCACCGTCTCCCCGCCTTGTCTTTGGAATGCCCGGTGCACTGCCCTGAACCGAGACCGGCGGGGTAGAGGGGAGAGGTCTGACGGCAGTTCCACGTGCCCTTCCACAAGGCAGCAGCGCAGAAGTGCACACAGGTGGGGCCGCCCCGTTGCCCTGCGCCTGAGGACCCCTACCCCACACAAGCACCCCAGTATGCTGGCAAGGTACCATCCACCCTACGAGCCACCTTACACTCTGGGATGCCTGAAGACAAGGAGGGAACCGCATCCGCCCCCCGCCCCCAACCTCCACCAGATCCCCAGCGCTGCCTCTCAGTCCCAGAGAACCGCCCCCCAACAGCCCAGCCCGGAAACAATCACCCTTTGAGAAAGGCTGCCAAGCTGGGCGCCAGGAACAGCCAGGATGGAGGCGGGGTGGAATGGGGGTGCAGCAAGGGCCGGGCGAGCTTTAACTCTACAGAGCCGAGGCCTGGTGCGCTCGGCCCCCGCCCGCAGCCCCTAGTCCGGCGCCTGTAGCTGGCGCCTCCTCCTCTGGGGAGGGTATGTGT